TTGCTACAAGTAAACCTAGTACTACCACAAAGAAAAAGTTATCAAATATTTTTCTTCACTATTTTCAGGCTTCTACTCTCTCCAATTTGTGTCTGGTCAGTTTTACTGTTACTTTATACTCCGCTGGCACTGAAGGCACTAACTAAAAAAATCCCTTGTAAACATTAACCAGGAAACAGGGAAACTTTTATTTAAAAAAAGAAATAATAGTCTGTGGTAACAGAGTTTTCATTTTAACTAATAATTGTCCTGAACTTCATCTCAATTCAAAAGGATGTTTTTCCTTAAAATGGAGGAAGTCCAGGAATGTCTTTGAAATCTTGGAGGTAACTTCCCTTTCAATGCCATTTTCCCTTTACTAAAACATGCTAATCTTCTCTCCATAGCCTCCTTCCTCCCCCTTTTTAAGATGAACTGAGTGTAGAAACCTGGCATCCTGACAGTATTTAGGCCAGAGTACAACTTGAACATATCAACAGAGTGGTTTATTTTATGCCTATCATAGACTAGCAGGCACAAACTCTAAAGGCTCCTTACGATTTTACTTAAGTGTTCCCCCCAAGTAGCACCTCCTTATTTTTGATGGGGCTGAGCAAGCCTAATCACACATAAGCCCAACCAGGATCCAAAAATTAGACATTCTCTACTAGGTAGAGGGGCTTGATTTTGTCAGTGTTATAAGGATACTTATCCTATGTAAAGAGTAGTGATTAGTGGTCTGAGCATTTACCCAAAAGATGCCAGACACAAGTTCAGTTTCCTCTTCTGCTCAAAGAAAATAAAACCACCATCTTACAACTCCCAGGACCACGACACAACAACTAGGCTAGGCTATTTTGAAGTGGAACACTCTCTTCTAGGCCTGTGCAAAACAGCACCATTTTGTTTCAATTTCTGTTCCACCGTTTTGAAGAGACAGTGTTTCATTTCATCATTTTGTCTCCTTTTGAAGCACTGTTCCATTTAATTTGGTCAAAATTGTTTTGACGTTTCCCCCATAAGCTATAATGGGGAATCATGAAAATGCCTATAACTTTATTTCTTGTCTCATTCAGATGAAATTTGCAAGGATGGTAGCCCCTTCTGAGGGTATGAAGCCTGCCAAATTTCAGGGAGTTCGGTGCAGGGGTTTCTGGGAAACTGCACCTCAAACTGCTGACAAGCAAAACTTCTGTCACTTGCCGGCAGCGGCAGCTTCCCGTCGTCCTGCATGCAGATCCGGGGGCCTGCACCCCCGGGAAGGCTGTGGGGCTGAACTCCGTGGGGTTGGCAGAGCCGCTTGGAGTGCAGCCTTGTTGTGGGCTCAGAGAGCAACCCTGGCTCTCCCCCACATCCTGTCACAGAACTACACTCCAGCTGGCTCTGCCAGCCACACAGAGCAGAGACCAGCAGCAGGAGGCGGAGGAAAGCTACTGGCCAGGGCTGCGCTCAGAACTAGGGCTGTGCTTCAAGTGGCTCTGCCACTGTCTGTCCACTGCTTTCCACTGCCTCCTGCTGCCAGACTCAGCTCCATGGGGCTGCGGAGCCTCCACCCACCGAGCTGCGCTCACCAAGGCTCCGTTCCAAGCAGCTCCTCCAGCCCCATGGAGCTCAGCCCGGCAGCAGGAGGCAGCAGGGAGCCAGTGGCGGAGCTGCCCCAAGTGCAGCCCTTGGCTGGTGGCTCTGGCCAGTACTTCTCCCCCACCTCCCAGCACTGGGCTCAGCTCCATGGGGCTGTGGAGCTGCTTAGAGCACAGCCCTAGTAAGTACAGCCCAGTGGCTAGAGGTCTCCACAGCGGCCCCTGGATCTACACAAGGAATGACAACAAGCTGCCGTGGCTGGCTGGGACCGGTGCTGAAGCCAAGTAAGCCTGGCTTCAAAACTTGAAATGCTTCAAAATGTTTCAAGTGACTGCATTTCATTTCAAAGCTGTTTCAAAGGCTTTTGTTTTGTTTCACTGTTTCGAGCTCAAAACACATCCAAACAGCTTCAAAACAAAACACCCAGTGAAATTTCGCACAGCCCTACTCTACCACTCCCATTGAAACAATACCACTGCACAGAAAAGAATTCAAGATTGACTGGGTCAGAGAGGAAGCAGAAGAGAAGGCAATTCAAGTCTATTATTTGGAGCACTCCCCAGGGAAGGGAAAGTCTCACATTTCCCTCATCTTGAGCAAGGACTCTAGCTATTCGAAGGTAATGAAAAAAAGAGTGCTGCCATTTTTAAGACAACAATCCCTGCTCAATCCTTAGAAAGAATCTGTTGGCACCTACCTTCATTATAAGGTTTGAGGTTGCATGTAGGAAATGCAAGACACAAAATTAGAAGAGAAGAGAAGAATTAAAATACCCTCCTGTCCTCCGTGTTTTCTATTGGCTAGCTGCACCCCGAAGAGTGCCGCCTCTAGCCTGTTCTCTGTTTAGTGTGATGGCTGTTTTGGATCCCATTCTCAGTTTAATTCCCCTCATGCATAGCATAGGACCTTAAGTGTTCAAATTCTTTGTTGGACCTAACCCTAAATCTTTAACTTTACAGTTTTATCTCCTTCAGTGTAACATTTGCAGATCTCCAAAACTGTTCCTTTCATGTGCCAAGAGTGGTTCATAGCTGGGGGGAAAAAAAAGAAAAAGAGTGGAGTCTTTTTTTTCCCAAGGACTTTTATTGACATTATTTTGGGAACAGGATGAATCCCTCTTTCCCACAAGTTCTTAGATAAACTGAAATAAATCAATAATGCTAACAACTGTTGAGGGGAATATTTTGAATATTTTACGGAATTCTTTGAATATTTTGCAAGTGGTTTACAATAGCTCAGTCCCCCTTTTCTTGGGATTAGGACATGGGAACAGTACTGTCTGAGGCCAGAGAAGCAGATCTGGGAAGTAAACTACCCAAGAATCAGAAGTGATAAGCTTCCAGCTTTGAAAAACAGTCAAGAATGCATTTGCAGGTTTAGGTTTGAGACAAAACAAGCATTTTCATATCAACCATATTCATGAAGAATGCCTCATACAGTATTTGAAAGCTTGGCCAACTTTATTCCAACCAGGCAGTTGGTCCAATAAAATATGACCCAAAAAATCCTTGCCTCTTACATAATTATTGGACTATCATGGCTACCAATTCTGTGCATGTCTTCCCCACTATGAAAATCTGTCACGACCCAGACAGAGTGAAGATTTGGGGAGATAACAGAAGGTTAAGTCTTAACAAGAGGAGACAATAAAAAAGGGATATAGTAGAAATATATCTTTAACCACTTTTTTATGTTGGGTGGCAGAAACTGCGCTCTAATGTATTTGAATTGTTTCCCTTCCCTTTCTACTAACAAAGAAGTAGAGTATTAAGAAGACGAGTACATGAGTGTCAGAAGAAGGCAAGATAGAAGAAGGTAAAGAATAAGCTGTAATCTAATCCTCAAATCACTGTCAGTACAGTGTTATCTATGGAAGAAAGAAGATATCACAAGTAGTGGTCAGGCCATTCTACTGTAAATATAATTTAGATGCAACCAAGAGAAGCACAAGAACTGGATTAAAGTTCGAGCCCATTTTGAGATACTAATTTTATATATCTCTCAAAGAAGCCAGAGGAGCGGGACAAGCCAAACACAAATAGGTAAAGAACTGAAGGAGGAAAACTGCATATAAACTAGTTTTCTTCCTGGAAATACTCACCGGAAAAACTAATAAGTTGCAGGTTCTCTCCATTCAACTGAAATTGCTTGAGATGGAGGACACTGTTTTCAGTTTGGTTTTCTTTATATGCAGCTTGGATAGGAAGTGGAATGGAGAAAAAAAAATTGCTAGATGGGATTAATCTACGCTATTAATTTTTCTTCCCAAGGGCTGAACCTTCTCAAGAGGCATTGATAGCATCAGCTCTTTATTATTTCTCATTTTAGGAACACCTTTACCTTAATATCCCCCAAAACATATTTCACAAGTTGATACGAGTAGTAGCAAACCATAAAACTCACTGTTTACATTTTAGATTTCCTTTTTCTTGCTTGTTGGGTTTTGAGACACTTCCCCACACATAATTAGACAGCTTCTACATACTATCTTCATGTATTTCAATAATGCCTACCATATGCAAGGTATTTTCCAGGCCCAGAGAGACCGCTCTGAGCCAGAAGAGTTTAAAGTTTAAGGAATAAAAAATTAACTGTCATTAAAATGTACTGATCAGACTTCATATCAGTTGTATCAGGTGATAATATTAAATAGTAGTATAGTCCTATAGAAATAAGACTATACCAGGAATGCACAATATTTGTATATAGGAGGAGTTCCCAGACAGTTCTGTCCACTCCCATTTGTCCGATTCAGAAACTGAGCTAACAAAACTGTACCAGTTTTCAAGCAGCACTGGTGAACTGACCTGAGGAAAGCAAAACAGCTCTAAATTACCAGAAGCAGGGCATGATCACTGAGGTACATTGTTATTTGACCTTTAATTTGTAATCCTGGCAGAGATTCATGCTAAGAGGTACGGAAGGAGATTCTTAGCAGCGGGCTCTTCTGAGAACAGTCTATAATTTCAATGCAGAAAGAATACATTTGAAAAAAAATCCATGACAAAACTTAAGGAGCTTTGTCAGCTTTTGTTGAAAGTAGTGCCTGTTCCTGAAGGAACGTGTACCAGGGGAGCTGGGGTTGCAGGAGGGCCCCAGGCCAAAGGGAAGCCTCACTTCAAAGTCGTGGCAGACGAGTCAAGGGGATCCCCTGACGTCAGCTGGGGTAGTCCTTGGAGTCCACCCGCAAGCCCAAGACACGCGCGATCAATAGTACGGGCTAAGGCCGCACAAGAGTGCCTAATCAAGCAGAGGCAGGCACAGAACACGTTACCCAAAAAGTTACGCAGGATAATAATCTCTGGCTTGCAGCATTTTTATAGCAGGAGGAGAGCACTAGTTTGTCTACTTCCATTATTACAGGGATCTTGTTAGTGCCATCATAAACACTGGGTTTTAAATGCAATTGATACTTAATTCTAAAGGAAGTGAAAACTTACCTTCTGGAGGAGTTGGAACACTGCTTCCAAGTCCTAAAATAGAAATGCTATGGCTCCTTGGTGCCAACATCAGAGCAAACTCTTCTCCCCGTTCCCAATGAGGCACTTTTACAGGCTCCAGGTGCACATTTTCCAGCCCTTCCTCCTGCAGGGCACTGAACATGTATTTGATGGCAAGGTCTAGATTTTTGGAGCCACTGAGTCTGGGTCCTACAGTATCAGCAAAAACTGCCAGTCTTTCATAAGATCTGTTCTGGGCATTGCCATAAACAGCAAGGTTAATAATAGCCTTAGCAATATCAGAATAACCAGCTATTTCCCTTTTAACATCTTCAGATATTTTTCGGTAGCTGTCATCTCCACTCAAAGGTTTCCCAGTACATTGCAGTAACAGATGAATGAAGGCTATTAAGAACAGGCATTTCATTTTCCTTCCTTTTCTTTTAATCAGTTGTCCTGTTGAAGGGGGAAAAAATAGACCATTTTAAATCATACATCTATCAACAATATTCTGTTATTTGTTATTTGGCCTGGCAGGAAGGCAATATTGAACACAAATCTGATGAAAGCATTTTCATGTTAAAATGAAATGGCAGAGAAATAAATTCAACTTAGAAACAGAGTTATCTGGAACAAATACAATGGACACTTAAAACAACAAGGCACAGACAAGCTTTGTTACAATTTAAAGAAACATCCCCAGAATGCAACATTTCTTTAAATAATCACTAAATGAAAGACTAGGAAGCTTTTCATTCAAGTCAGCTGGAGTTTTGCAATTGGCTCTCCCAGAAGGAGGACTGGCCACAACTGTTAACCCAAGACAAACTGATGATCAAAGAAGCTGCATGCAGTTCATTCAGTCAAGAACCTTTCTGAACCATTCATTAATAAAACCACTTCAAATTTAGTAATTCTACAAATCAATAACATGCATTCGCTAAACAAGAGATTTCAATGTAATTTACAATACTAAGTTCCCACTGTCCCCACATGGTACGTAATACTTTTCCCATGGCACAGAAGCACAATTAAACTGGGAAAGATTTTCTGACTTTCCAGACAGTGACCTAGGAACTAATTTTTTTGAGGGTGCTGAGCACTTACACTCAACTCCAGATGAACTTACACAGCTAAAGCTACCCATTAACATGGCATTTTGGGACATTTACTATGATTTTAGATCCTACTGCCCATGAAAAGACATGTAATTAAGTCTGGACTAAGAGGTGGGGGAGCTCCTATCCCCAGCAGTGTTTCTGCATTTTCATTTAATAGGCCATTGGATGAAATGGAAAGACAACAATGGGCATACAAGCAGGGACCAGAGCCTGGGTCTCTTGTCTTCCTCAGCCACAAAGCCAGGCTCCCTTTGACTTGCTGGGTAACCAAGGGGGAAGCAAGGGGTCAGAAGGAAAAGCAAGTAATTTTCAACAGGAGATATGAAGGGCATCTTTAGCCTTGCTGGGCCCACATCCTGATGGTTAGGCCATTCTGCTAGGAAATGGAAACTATAGATTCTAGAGAAGGGGGGCCTAAGAACCTGCGTCTCTAAACACTAAATCACAAGTGCCCTAACCACTAGGACGCTGGTTTAAAAGGTAGGAGGATCCTCCCTTTCCCATGACTTATGAACTATTCACAGGGGAACAGGATCCAAAATCTATATAAGCAGCCTGCAATGCCACTTATACGGCTAAAGTTGCTGCATAAGTGCTACTTACACACCAAAAAGGGAGTTGGATTTGGACCTTATCATTCCAACAGATGTCAACAGTTGAAAGTAATCAATACCTCTGAAAATCAGGTCCTATATAACTGGGTCAACGCCTCACACAAGCAGAGATGGGAACAAAATCCAATCTGTTTCAGCAAGTCAAATGGAACAATTTTGATACATGTTCAGCATTCAAAGAGCGAACAGCTATTTCGTAACAGAAACACCAACAATGTCCAAGTTCTGATAATTGCACAAGGTTGGTGTCTATTCTAGGTGCCTCTACATGAGATGCTACTGCGCAGTACCGTTGGCAGGCGCTAACTGTGATGTGACACTGCTGAGGAGTCGTAACAAGCTACTTCACAGTAGCTTGTCGCTACTGTACAGTAGTGTGTGAAAAAAAACCATGCAGGGATGGTACTGCACAGTAACACCAGTTACTGCACAGTCATTTAGTACTTGATTATGTAGACATGGTCTCTAGGTACTAATCATTTATCTTTAAAAAATGCTGCCATTATCCATATTATCCCTCTTTTAAGGAGTTCTTAACTAGGTTCTCTCTGCCCTCAAGAAATATTTAAATTACTTGTATTTTTGACAAACTTGGAAACTTCTGAAAGCACTTGAAAATTTGGTAAGGTTCTTTCATAACAAAAACAACACGACTAAGAATCAGGATGTAGAATATATAAAAATCTATTATTATACACAAAGGAAGATACTAAATGTTGTACTTACTTATCAAACACTTAAAAAAAAAAATTAAAAAGCAAGACCCTTTACATGGCCCCAGATCTGTAGCTATTAAAAGGCTATTTTAAATAGGAAAGAATACTGTGATAATTAAACACTGAAGAGTTTGATATAGTTCTTTGCTACATTTATGGGTTCTTTATAACCCATAGTAAGATAAGTGGATGTTTTCTTATACAGAATAACATTTGCATCCAAAATTAAGGTTCCTTTTTGAAAAAGCAAAGATAAGCCTTTTTTTTTTTTTTACAAAAGAAGTTATTCTTAGTAATGACTGTTCCATGAAGGGGCAAGAAACCAATTTGTTAGTTAATGTTTGCAATGTGCTTTGAAGTTGAAAAGAGACACAATGCAGAAGTAACATTTAAAAGCTTTTACTGTTATATTTTCCAGGTATATTTCTTCAAGTCTATTTCATTTAAAATAGTTCTAAAAAAGCCACACCAGGAAGTTCCAACTGCCTGCAACCTCACTCAGACTGTCTCCAGGGATGCCACATTTCCTGGGTACTCTGTTTCCAGGAAGACTTAACTTAGGTCACACAGTAAGCCATGACTCCAGAAAAAAAAAAATCTTGTTTCATATATTCAGCCTTTCAAAACAGGGTGTATGTTATTTTGGGTGAGGGTGCTGTATGTGAGAAAATATGGTGTTGCCCTGTGGGGTCAAGCCAACTCTCAGGATCTCAATATTGCACTGTTGGACAGGAGTGTGTGACAATTGCATATATACAAAACACACAAATCAATTAGGTGCATACACACACACACTACCAGCTCAGGCACATACACATCCAAAGCAGCCTAGGCACATGCATACCTATCACCAATTCAAGCACATACACTAGACACTGCAAAAGTTAGACACAGATCACTAATTCGTATATCATGCACACAATGACATATATATGTATACACACACACACCCCCCCCAGTTCACACACATACAACCTACCTATACACACACACAGGTAAGTTCCTAATTTGGATGGTACAGTGTGTATGTGTGTGCTTGGGGTACCTGGGATACTTGGGGGACGGTTCAGATGAGAGAGAGGAGAGAGTGTTAAAGTGTAGGGAGTGAAAGTTGACAGAACTGGGATTAGAACCAGTGGACTACAGAGAAGCTGGCTGAGGAACTAAGGCTTGGGTTTACTTAAGGTAGACTGGGGCTGGAAACTGAGGCAGACAGCTGAGATATTGTGGAGGGGCAGATAAGTGGTGAAAAGGAAGAAACAGCCAGGAAAGAAACTGAGGCAGAAACCTGGTTGCCCAGGGGAAGAGGAAAAGGCAGTGCGGATAAGACAGTGGCAAAGAAACAGGGGGTTTGGAGGCAGAGAGGAGCTCAGGACAGGTGTTGGAGATGGCAGTGAGCCAGAAGCAGGAGAGGGAGAAATGAGACAGAAGTTAGAGGGGCGAGGAGCAGAGATTGGAGCAGGGCCAAACCATAGTAAAGTAAAACCCAACTTAGGGTCCGAATAACAGTTTTATTAAACAGACAACACACTACACAGCCCCATGAAGTTATTGGTTCACACACACAAGCACTCATAATGGCAGCAGGAGAAAGAGACTCAGTGGAAGGGCTGGGGGCCAGGTAGGGGAGAGAAGCAGAGTCCAAGTCCTTGGTTGAAGAGGAGTGAGGGGTGATAGCTGCCTATCCAGGCTGGAAAGGGATCCTTGTCCAGTAGGTATTGTCCAGAGTGGGGGGTCACCGGCAGGGCAGTCTTCACTACCCCTTTTATGGGGCAGACTACCTCTGATCTCCTACGGGGAGGACCTGTTCAGGCAAGGTCAGTCTTGTTCCAGAGGGCTCCAGGTGAGTACTGGTGTACTCTAGCTGTCCTAAAAACTTTAATAAATTTGCTTTTAAATGCCATTTACGGATTGTTTCTATCATACCTACACCCTAAGTTATTAAAGGTTAAAAGTGCACAAGGACTTTATGAAGACACTGTATGTAAGAAAAAAAATGTTTGTAGTACTATTCCCCTTGCTGAGTTCAGCCTGAATTTGCTCAAATGGCAACTTTATTTTGAGGACCCAGAAATACTTAAGGCAACAATGCTAATATTTATAGACCTCTCAAAAAAATATTGGATGCACATATATTTGGAGCCCTTCCAAAAGGGGGGACATTTAAAAAGGGCAGCAGCTTTTACATTCTGATTGTTGAGTGTGAATGAACTGAGAATAATTTAACTAGAGCAAAACAGCTTCAATTTTCACATGGTTCTGTTACACTGGGGTCATTCTCAGCTAGATAACAATTAGAAAGTAACAGTGGCTGCCTATCTGAAACATTCCCTTTTTGAAAGGGCTCCAAACATGTGTGTCCACACCCTTAGATAACTTAGAATTAAATTCTAATTTCGATGTGGTTACAGCAGAATCAAAACAATAAATCATAAGAGTAATACATCACCTGAACAAGCAGAGTAGACTCTGGCAGAGTGACAGCGCATACTTCAAAATCAGAACAATACTTCTTTTCAAGTTATTGTATTCCAATTAAGGTATTTAACCTACGTATCAATAGGTGCTACACACATCAAATATGCACCATTACCTTAACAACAGTATTAAAAAAAAATTTGCAGTTGCATCTACAGCTAAAATGCATTTGTTTTAAGAAATAATTTATTTCTTAATAAATTATAAAATTTATTTCTTAATTTATTTCCTAATGAATTGTAACATGTATTTGTTTGTGTCAAAAAACTTGCAATTATAGAATTTTTTTTGCAAAACTCCTGGTCTAATAAAAGATACCATATCTACTACAAGTCCCAATTGCCTTTTCCTCTAGACCAATATGACTACAACCTGGATACCCGACACATGGAAGATATCAAATTTTGGCCGATTTTTTAATGAAATCTTCATATTTTCCCAAGCAGGAAGCAACGGTTTCTACCTGAAACGTGGGATCCTGCCTTGGTTTCAAGGTAATTTGCATTATCACTGATCCAAACAGGAAG